TAGAATTGATACTATATTAACTACCTAAATTCAATATTCCTTCATCTATTAAAAATTAAAACGAGGAAAATTCTTCAGTAGTTAATTTTCGATTATAAGTAATAACAATTAGATTATCACTAAAATCTGTTGGAAGAGTTACATCATTGCTTTAAGCTAGATAATTATAGATATTTATACACTAAATGGCTAAGGGAAGCTAACAAATCATACTTTATCCCTAAACAGGACTTTTAAGATACTCTAAGTTATATCCTTCAGGGCACTCACATATTCCTTTTTAAGTATTGGGGAAAATATTTAAATCTGGAAAACAGTTTTATGAACAAGCATTCTGCCATAAATAACTTCCTTCATTACATTTTATGCATGTTTGAATATCGGTACAGGAACTACAGTTTTAGCTGCACTAGAAGCAGATGTTATGAGAATCACAGAAGTATCCATAGCCTTTACCGTTTGAGCAATCGAAATTATTTTTATAAGGATTTCTAACAAGATAATTATACCCTTATTAACATGTACAGGTGTTTGTTAAAGAATCATAAATATAGTTACTACCTACAGATTCACAGCTCTATGTACATTATTTTTAATTAAATAATATGTGTCCACTTTCGCATTACTAACAGCTGCATACTAAGCAATAATTTTAATTGGAATCTTAGCTTTAATTTTTAGTAAGCATACTATAACTTAAAGCTATATTATCACATAGAGAGCATTAATAATTACATATTTAACAATTTTACTTAGAGGAGCTTAGATATGAGTTATTAGGACAAATTTAACAACGTTTTGTAGTTTTATCGATTTGGAAATAAAATTAATTACATATAGTACAATCTAAATCAGTAGGTCCTGAGCATTCTTTACAAGCTACATTACATTATTTACAATATTTGCCAGAAATGTAATATCCTGACTATTATGAACAAATAACACACTAGTTGGTTTATTCATGAATATGATAACCAGATTAACATAATTCACAAGTGGTTTCATTATTACAATTTTGGCAGTTAGGAATGCATTCAATACAAGAATATCCTTTCAAAAAATAACCTGATTGACATAATTAACAAGTGATTGCATTATTACAATTTTGGCAGTTAGGAATGCACTTAAAACAAGTATATTCATTAAAAAAATAACCAGATTCACAAGAAGTACAAAGATAATTATTTTCTTTACAATTTTTGCATTAAGGAAGGCATTTCAAACAAAATTAAACTTTTTTATAATATCCATCTAAATTACAATCAGTACAAGAAGAATCCTCTTCTAAAAGATATCGCTTTTCATAACCACAAGCCCAGCAATCTATCTAACGTTTTCCTTTACAACTAACACAATTAGGATCAAAACATTTTTCACATTACTTTGAAGAATTTAAAAAATAGTTATCTGCACAAGCTGAACATCCACTCTCAAAACATCTTATGCAATTAGGATCATTTGAACAGGAAAATCCAATAATCATAGTAATATTTAAAATCAAAATGATAAAAAGTAGCATATTTTAGTTAGCTTTTATAACTTTTCTCTTACCTTTTTTCTTTATTAAGTTTTGTTTGTATTTTTTAATTAATCTCAAATATTAATTCTAAAAATAAAATAATGATCTATTCACAAATTAATTACTTTTGTTTAACGAAATATAAAATAAAAAATATAAATGTTTCCATCAAGATGACTTAAATTTGCTTCTTAATAAAAAAGCTAAAAATATTACCTTCTTTTGTGTATTAATTTTTATAATTTGTTAATAATTAAAATAAAATTAGTTTTTATAATGCTTTTATAAAATGAGAAAAATTTAATAAAATGGTAAATTCGCTAACTCCAAAATATTTTATTTTAAAATTGATATATTTCATGGATACATAAATATCTAGTAATTACATTTTTTTAGTTGATAATCGAAACTAAAAAGCATTTTGATATTTAAATTAACAAAACTAATTATTTGATTTCCCTTTTATATCTTATTAAATTAAGTTTAGGTCTCTGTAAAGATACTCAAAAAAAGATATTTTAAATATTTGATATTAAGTTTATGGGGTTTAAGAGCAAGCAATAATTAATTTGAATTTATTCATTGAAATTTCTGTAATCACAAATAGAAGGAATGGATAATACTTATTTATTTTATTTCAAAAATTATGTAAACCAAACAATCACAATTCAAAAACTAAATTTACTTTAATTATCATATTTTAATTTCATATTCAATCCTTTTTTCAAAATTTGAATTTATAAATTATTCTATCACTAATACAGAAATATTTAAACTAATAAAATAATATTTTTGATAAAAAATACTTTTTTATATAATTTTATTTAATATAAATTTATTTTAAATGCGATAAATTTTATATTTAAAATATTTAGTTGATCTATTATTTAATTTTTAATATCATAAATTAGCTACGCATTCGTTGAAAGATGACAAAATATCAAATTAAATTTTTTTTCAATGAAAGAAAGATATTTATCTAAAAACTTTACTTCAGAAGAAATAAGATTACATTACATTAGATATATTACTTTTGTTTATTTATTTAAATATAAATAAAAATATTTAAATTATTTTTTTATAAAAGCTGTGCTTATGCTAAAGCTAAAAAGTTATCCTTAAGAAATAGCTATGATTAAAATTACATTTAATGAATATTTTCATACTAAATCTATGGAAATACAGCCAGCCATTCCAAGTAATCTATTTTTCTAAATCAAAAGTAAATCTTAATAGATCAATTCTTCTTTGAAAATTAAAAAGATTTTAATGATTAATTTTCTTTTTAAATAATTAAATCTATTTGACATATTTAATAAATTCTAAATAAAGCTTGATTATCAAATATCCTCAAAATCGAAATCAAATTCAATTTAATGAATAAATTAATTTTTGGCTAAAGTTATTAAATAAATCATTGGATAGTTTTTAAAGTAAGGACTGACTGACTGATTGAAAAGATTAAAGACTAATAAAAAGGAATAAATAAATAAATTTATAGCCCATCTTAAGGTTAAAAGTTTTTTAATATTAGTAAATTAATTGCAAATAATAATATCTAAAATTTATCTTAGTTTTTCAACAAATTATTTTTTTTATAATAGAATTAGCGATATGAGATGCGAGAATTAAATTCATGAATAAACCCTAAATTTATAATTTTAAATTACATTATTTATTTTTTATAATAGTTTTATTTATTACAATATTTGCTTTTATTGAATTTAAAATCAAATAAAAATAGAGTGAAATGCCTATTTAATTTACAAAAGGTGAAATGTAATATATCTTAATAGCATAATAAATACAGCTAAATAAGCTTAAAACAGCTTTATTTTTTAGTTTTTAGAAAGCTTTAACTCACAAAATGTAAAATTTCAAATAAAAGATACTGTATATTCTTATAACATGTCATTTTTTTTGAAAAAAATAAATTTTGAAAATTTTATCAAAGGGGTCTTATAGTAAGGGGGGGGGGGGGGGGGGGG